AAATTCGGCCTCACAACCATCGGGCAGCTGCTCCTGGGCAGACAATGCAAGCATTTTGGTGTCCTGCATACCCTACTTGGAGGATCATGGGACTTAGTAAGTAAGGTTATAAGTCCCTTAATTGGGGTGATAAGTATAGTTAGTTACCCTAATTATAACCCTACTTACTAAGTCCCATGATCCTTTAGCCCTAAACCCTGGACCCTAAACCCTAAACCCCTAAACCCCTAAACCCCGAAACCCTAAACCCTAAACCCTAAACCCTACATACTAAGTCCCATGATCCTTTAAGTAGATCCGAAGCCCCAGATCTTTTGAAGGATGGGAGTCCCTGCTCGACGAAGAGCGAGGTCAGCTTAGGGTTTAGGGTTTATAACGTGGGTTTAGGGTGTAGGGTTTAGGGTTTATAGGGTTTATAGGGTTTAGGGTTTATAGGGTTTAGGGTTTATATGGTTTAGGGTTCGGGTTTAGGGTTTATACGGTGTTGGATTTAGGGTTTAGGGTCTAGGGTTCAGGGTTTAGGGTTGGGTTTATGAGGTGCAGGGTTTAGGGTTTAGGGTTTAGGGCTCAGGGTAATTATAAGGTGTAGGGTTTAGGGTTTCTAAGGTGTAGGTTTTAGGGTTTAGGATTCAGGGTGTAAGGTTTAGGTTTTAGGGTTTATAAGGTGTATAGGGTTCAGGGTGTAAGGTGTAGGTTTTAGGGTTTATAAGGTGTTGGGTTTAGGGTTCAGGGTGTAAGGTTTAGGGTTTAGGTTTTATAAGGTGTAGGGGGGTTTAGGGTTTATAGGGTTCAGGGTGTAAGGTTTAGGTTTTAGGGTTTATAAGGTGTTGGGTTTAGGGTGTAAGGTTTAGGGTTTGGGGTTTATGAGGTGTAGGGTTTAGGGGTTTGGGTTTGGGGTGTAAGGTTTAGGGTTTGGTTAGGGTTTGGGTGCGGTGAGGGCACGGGTTTTGTTGGTTCTATTGCTACTAATACTACTGTTACTACTATTACTACTATTGCTACTATTACTACTAGTACTACTAGTACTACTATTACTACTATTACTACTAGTACTTTACTATTAATACATTTACTGCTATTGCTGCTATTACTGCTACTACAATAACTGCTACTATCACAAATACGATTACTATAATTACTACTACTACTACTACTACTACTACTACTACTACAATTATGAGTATTCTTCTACGATTACCACTATTACTCGTATTTTTACTTATCACTACTTTTGCTGTTTTTATATTACGAATCCTATTAGTATTGCACGATGAAGTGTTGCTCCTCAACATTGCCCTACACCTTTAATTTGTTGACGCTTCGCAATTTATGTTGATGGCCGCATGGCCAAAACCGTAAACCCTAAACCCTAAACCCTAAGCCCTAAACCTATGATGTTTTTGGATGTTTCACCCTTGGGTTTAGGGACCAGGCCTTTGGGCAGAGGGGTGGTTCGAGGTTTAGGGCTCTGTTACTTTTGGGGAGTGTTCTTGTTCTTGTTGTTATGGCTTTGGGAACTTTGCTCTTCCGGGCGGTATGTTTTCGGTTCGGTTTAGGGTTTAGGGTAGATAGAGTGTAGGGTACATGGGGTTTAGGCCTTAGGGTAAATAGAGTTTAGGGTACATAGGGTGAGGGTTTAGGGTAAATAGGTTCAGTTTTGGGGGTATGGCTTCACAAAGATTGCATGATACGTCGGCCATCGCAGGCTTGTTAGGGATATGCTATTCGGATTCCGTGGTTTTGCCGCGCTACAGCTTCGCTTTCACCGAAAGGTAAACCGCCAAGCCCTAACAGCCCCACACTCTTGCAGATTCACCCCGTTGCGCTTGTAAGAGGAGTGTATGCATCACAGCAGTTGTAGTTGTAGCTGTGTCGCAGTTGTAGTTGTGGTTGCAGTAGTTGTAACTGTCTATTAGCTGTACGTAGTTCTAGTTACACTTGCAGTCGTCGTCGTCGTTGTTGTTGTTGTTGTTGCTGCTGTTGCTGCTGCTGCTACTACCACCAC